GGAAGGAAGGAAGGAAGGAAGGAAGGAAGGAAGGAAGGAAGGAAGGAGAAACAGGAAAGAAGGAAAAAACAGGAAGGAGAGAGAGAGAGAAACAGGAAGGAAGGAAAAAAGAAACAGGAAGGAATGGAAGGAGAGAAAGAAATAGGAAGGAAAGGAAGGAAAAAAGAAAAAAACAGGAAGAAAGAAACAGGAAGGAAGGAAGAAGGAAAGGAAGGGAAAAGAAGAAAAATGGGAAGGAAGAAAAAAACAGGAAGGAAGGAAAAAAGAAAGAAAAAGAACAATCAGTTTGATCAACTGTAAAAAGGTTTAGCCCATACAACATGCTTAATAAAAAGAGCCCACATGGAGATCTTTTTAGTCTGTAGGTTTGGCAGCTATGAAACAATGCCAATCCTTTTTAAAAAAGGACATTTTAGCTGTAAAAACGTTCTCTCTTGCATTCATCTCAGTCCTAAAAAATCCAGATGCAAGTAACTTACTAAACTTTCCCCTTTTTGTGACTGATTTTCTGGCCACATCGGAAAGTAACGTTCCGGCCTTCGGGGACAAGCCTGGTCTTCATCCTTGGCGGCGGCAGGGTGGGTATCACCGTCGGAAAAGGGAACTCTGCCGTCGGAGTAAGGGAAAGTGGAAACAACAGACACATCAGCTCAGAATTAAAACAACGCAGCTCTCCCTCACCAAAAATAAAAAAAAATTGATATGTGACCCAGAATAGCGATCTTTTTAGGAAACGCCCCAGCTTGCATTTGATCTGTTAAATCTGCTAAATTCCTAAATTTCTTTTCACAGTTTTGTATGCCGATTGATTTCGTTCTGCAAATAGTTCGCCGTCTGTCTTTGGAATTGCTTCATGTCACGGCCCCGCCCTGGGCAGATGTGGAGCAAAATGATGATATTTTGCTGAGGCTGGGACAGATAGTTGTCGCTTCCCTCCCCTCCCAAATCCATTTAGAAAACAAATGTGGGGTTTTGAATTTCCCAAAGACGGCTGGATGATGCAGAGAGATTCCCGAACCCTTGGGAAAATATTATACCAGCAGTATAACATTAAACCATTGTTTTATAGCAGTGTCTCCTAATCTTAACAACTTTAAGAGGGGTGGACTTCAATTCCCAGAATGCCCCAGCCAGCATGGCTGGCTGGGAAATTTTGAGAATTGAAGTCCAACCCCTCTTAAAGTTGCCAGCGTTGAGAAATACTTGCGTAAAGAATCAGTTGCCCTTTTTACTACACAATGGACCACAAAAGCCAGATGTGAGAGTTACCCAAGCAGAAATCACAGCTGTAAGGGCAGTGCTTTTTCATAAACCGTTGGCGTGTTTGACAGTACCCTTTCCGACTCCACGACGGACATATAAACAGTCGGTCTTTGCAGCCTGGGGGGAAAAAAAACAGGGTTTCACTTTAAAATGCCCAAGAAGAAAAGGTAGAAATGCCACCGCTCGTTCATTTTGTGACTGAACTGATTTGACCCTACTCTTAACACAAAAGCGAGGTTTTGGTGGTGTGATGACCCAGGGTGAGATACAAAATAAACACAGTCACAAAAAACAGGTGAAGCCCCTTTTATTCTTTCACTTTGCTTCCAAGCTCCAAATATCCTTGATTGGAGACAAAAAAACTCCCACACAAACGGTTACAAGGAGGAGGAAATGCCGTTTAAATTATAAAGAGTAATAAACAACACAAACCAGGCAAGATAAGGGCTTGAAGACGTCCACAGATATCAGAACACACACTGGGAAGGACGCCAAACTAAGAGAGGAACCATAAACTAGAGATACTTCCACGCTTTGTTTCCAGCACTTGACCGTACGCGTGTCCATCCTCTTATCCAGTTGTCACAGCTGCAGCCCATGAAGGGGATCAAGGCCCTTTCCTCCCCCGTAGACCATGCCATTCACATTTCTCCCTTCTTGTCTCCTCCCTGCATGCTCTAGGATGGAGAGAGGATGGTCCTAGGTCCTCCTCTGACTGCTCAGCCGGCCTCTGCCCTTCCCCAGCCTCCTCCACAACCTCCGGAGCCACACTTCCACTCCCTGCCAGCTGTTCCTCCTCTCCTTCAGAGTCAGTCTCCACCAGGGACATGACAGGGGGCCAAACTTAACAAAGTGCCCAATAGCAGCAAACCTTGATTCTTCCGTCATGGCTCTGAGTTTGGATTTAGCTGAAAGGTAACAGGCACGAGATAACGGGTTTCTGGAGGAAACTTGAGGATGGAGCTTAATCCCAACATGTCAAAATTTTAGCGCTTTCCTACAGCGGCCTGTAAAACTGGTATAATGAAACAGCCTCTTTGTATCCTCTAAAAGATGGAGCCAAATTAAGAGGGGTGGAAAAATCACTTTTGTTGATGTTTTCACAAGGCCAAACACACACACATTCAATCTGTTCTAATTTGCTGAGGTTTTTCAAAAATACTGAGAAACCACCAGCATCGATGCTAGCAGGGAGGAGATACAGTTCATTTCCGGAAAAGAAATATTTAGTATAAATGCAAAGATCAACATTTTCAGTTGGTCGGATGGTAGCGAAAATAATTCCACCCATTCTTTTTAAACAGGGCGTGGACTGTATGTTTGGCTCGAAAATCAACTGGTGGCTACTGCCAATCCAAACAGTTTGAAACACAAATGCTACAATAAAAATATATATATTTTTCATCCCTTCTCCACCGTCTCAGAGGCTGGTCCACCACCACAGCTCAATGTTCTCTGTTTCAAGCTGTAAACACCCTTCAGCTGAATTTCATTGTTGGGTTGGAAACCTATCATTTTCTCTTCCCGACGTGTTCTGACTTTCAGAGGCCCAGAAAAGACAGTTTGGGGGAACTCTAAAGCCACCGCGGGCTGAAGTCCTCGTCCAAGAATTTGGATAGATAATGCTGCCTTCATGAGGGTTAGGATTGACCTTAAACAATTTCAATTTTAAAGCGCATGCCCTGTGATTTCCCCATGCAGATTCCCTCCTCCGCGTGTTTTCTTGCTTCTTGCCTTTTTTCACAAACCTACACAAGGATTTTTAAAAACTAGTTCTCCAAATCTGGACTGTGTCCTTTGGCACAGTCGCTTTTTCCAAAGGCAGCTGGGTTTTGCTTCATTTTTCCCTGAAGACGTTTTGCTTCTCATCCAAGACGCTTCTTCGGTTCCGAGTGAATGGTGGAGAACGGAAGGGTTTATATTCCTTGCAGCCACCTGGTCATTAGCCCTCTCTCTCTAACATCTTCAAGGAAAACCAATCCAGTTGCCTTTTGAAAAAGCATCTTTCAGACAACTGTGCAAAAGGACTAAGATTTGGGGAAGTGGATTTTTAAAAACCCTGCGTAGGTCTGTAAAAATGCAAAAAGCAAGAAAACATGAATCTCAGACATTTTGCACAGTTGTTACCTCCGCTTAGGCCTAATTGCACGAGGCAGCCACCGGCGGCTCTTTTTATCGGGAAAACTAACAAAGGAGATGATTAATCGTCCCCAACCTCGTTCCTTTCCTCCTGGCGACCGACGGCACCCGCTTACCATAAAGCCGATAAATTCCCCACATCTCGTCCTGCGAGATCGTGTTCTTCCCTGTCAGGGTGGCGTTCACATGCATCAAGGCGTTGGGATCCAGAGAGTGCATAAGGCCTAACGCGTGGCCAATTTCGTGGGCGGCCACGTGAACCAGATCTGTCAGCCAGACGACTTTAAAAAAAATAAAAAATCAAATAGGAACCTAATTAACCGGTTGAATTGCAAGGAAGAAAGCACACAGTGTGTTATAAAAGGTATTCTGGCTAGTTTAGGACGCTTCAATCAATCTGCCAGGGTTAACTCCCCCCAAAAACCCTGCAAAAACCCAGGAACAGGAAGGATTTCAGTCAATCAAGTTTGCTTCGTTCAATGCCCTGGCTTGGCTTTTCCCAATCAACAGATGTTGGAAAATAAAACATAATCGTAATCCTCGACTTAACAACAGTTCATTTAGCGACCGTTTGAATTTACAGCAGCACTTAAACAAAGTGACTTATGATCGTTTTTTCAAAGTTACGACCTTCGCCGCATCTCCATGATCACAGGATCAAAATCCAGGCGCTTGGCAACCGACTCGTATTTACGACGGTCGCTGCGTCGTGTGATTCCCTTTTGCGACCTGACAAGGAGAGGCCAGATTCCCTTAACCACCGTGCTCCTCATTTAACAACTGCAGCGATCCACTTAATGAATGTGGCAAGAAAGGTCGTAAGAGGGACGCTAAGCTCCCTTAACAACTCAGTCAGCAGGCAAAATTTTGGGCTCAATTGTGCTCGTAAGCCGAGGACTACGTGTGCTTTTGGTATCACGTTGTTGCATGTAGCCAGCGGGGTCTTGTCACTTTGCAACGCTTTCTCCACTCTACCAAAGGGCACGATTCCCAAATGGTGGGAGAATTCACTTCCCAAGTGGCTAAAAACTAGGGAAGGAGGAACACGGCTATTTATTCTTGAAACACAAGATGCCAGAGGTTAAAAAATTCTTTCCTTCGAGCCCCAAGCAAACCTCCCAACCCCTTTCCTTAATTCAAAACAGAAGCATCAGTAGCAATAAAGTTGATTCAGCTGCACTTGAATTGTATTACTCCATGCCCTGGATTAAAGTCCCTTTCTCATCTAGCCCAAAGGATTATACTTTTCATTTAAAAATAAATAAATAAGACCAAAGTATCGAAATACAACCCTGCCCTGACTCAAGCTGCAGCTGTCTGGAAATTTAGCAATGCAAAAATTCTTGTTTGTCTTCCTAAATAAGGAAATGCTCGCAAACTTGTCCCGAGGAGTTAATTTTTGGGTGTTTGGGGCACAAGAAAGGAAATAACAGATTTTCCTTGTCTTGGAGACAGCGCATCTGCCGCCAGGGATTTCGCTGTTGTAAAAATTTTCCGTTTCCTGATGAGAATAAACCCCGATGTCCCTCTGCAAAGCTTTGAGATTAACTTTATGAGCGAATAATTTTGTCTCCTGTTTTCAGTCTAGAGGAACAGGCTGTGTGGGGTTGACGATCCTTTAGAGAGATGGTTAAAAAAAACAGCACAGTTGCAAAATAATATTCAACATTGTTGATGAATAGATCTTTTCAACAAAGCCCTGATAAATCATGATGTTTGATTTGCCCCTATTCCCTGTTTGATTGGCAGATTAAACGTTCAAACTCAGTTTTTCTTTCTTATTTTGAATAAGCTCTGGGCACTCTTGCAGCTTGAAATAAATTTTCATCCTATATTCTCCCCAAATGGAGCATCACATAGCCAGGTCACAAACTTCAAGAGGCTAGAAACCTCAACACAGTTGGGTTTGCCGTTGTCTCTCTCTGCATGATACATCTTGCTGGGTTTCCCAATAACTCTCCTTGGTTGAGTGAGGATTATTTATACCTGTGATGGCGAACCTATGGCGCGCATGCCACAGGTGGCACTCAGAGCCATTTATGCGGGCGCACGAGCCCTCGGCAAATTTACCTCACTGCACAAGTGCGTGCCTCCCAACTGATTTCCCGCCCATTTGAGGCCCTTTTTCGGCCTCCCAGAGGCTCGAGGGAAGCCTCTGCAGGTTTTATAGGCCGAAAACCAGGCCCGTTTCGTCACTTCCTGTATTTCCGGAAATATTGGAAGTGACGAAACGGGCCAATTTTTCGGCCTGCAAAAACTGCAGAGACTTCCCTCGAGCCTCTGGGAGGCTGAAAAGGGCCTCAAATGGGCCAAAAATCAGCTTGGGGGTGCAGTGCAGGTAAGGGGGTTGGGGGGGAAGCCACGTGCATTGCCTTCTGGGTGCTGGCACGCTCAATTTTTGGCACAGGAGCCCCCAAAGGTTAGCCACCATTGATTTATACCACCCTGGAACATTCAGGAACTCTTTGTTTGCTATTTCCAATCCCTCTCTTTGCAGAGAGGCCCAGAACAGAGATTCATATAGAGACATGTCAGACAGACTCTTTAAGGGAAGCACGCTTGTTTTTTGTTTTTTTTTTAAAAAGACATTTAATGGGAAAAGGCTCATCTTGACCAAAGGGCCATCTGTTTAGCATTTTATGGAACTCTTTAAAAAATAATAATAATAATAACAGTGGCCGCTGAACTCCCGCAAAGTCTGCAGAACAAAAGAAAAAAAGCCATCACCCAGATGGAGAAAAAAATGTAAACAGCCTTTTTGTTTTTCTGGTGAGAAAGAGACCATGACAGAGCCTCCATAACACTTGGTGCTTTTGGGTCTCGGCCAGCAGCAACCCAGTTAAGCCAAAATCTTCAGTTTCAGCGGGGTGGAATATTTTCATCAGCGACATTCCAGGAGGCAAAGCCTTATTTGAAAGGCATGGGATGGCGAAATCTTGACGGGCCGGAAAAGCAGGCGAGAAAACACCGCCTCATTTCGTAGAATTCCATTTCAGCAACTTGAGTTTGTGGGTCTTCACGACGCAAGAACCTTGTGAAGCCAATTTCTACCCATTTTAATAGCAGCCCTACTTCATGGCCAAAAATAAAATAAAAAAGTTAGATACTCATGGACGTATAATATTTCATGGGCTTGGTCTGCTCTCATTAGAGACCCATAGGGAAGATTGCAAAACTTTCCAAGGAATAAAAGCTAGGAAAAGCAGAAAAAGGAAAAAAAAAAAAAAAAAACCTCCTGAAGCTAGTTGGGGATGTTCATCTGACTTCCTTAAGAACTAGAAGCTTGGTTTAGCAAAACAAGGTGAGGCAGTTGAAGACTGCCCTGTGCGATGATGTAAGATCTTCCTTGCACTGAGTTCAACGCCTTGGTAGATGTATAGCCCTTGACTTACAACCGTTTGTTTAGTGACCGCTTTTTCAATTAGCAACATAAATCCTGGACTATTTTCTTGGTAATAACCCAACCATGATTTGGAGAAAGTTTTTTTCTTAGTCAACCCATTTTACAGCCAGGGACTACATATCTAAAGCCAAGTTAGTCTTTATTCCCTTCTTTCATCTCTCAAACATCAGAGGTTTTTTTTTTTTTCTTTTGGATGATTTAGGGGTGTCAAATCCAATACTTTTAAAATTTGCAACATGTTTGCTGAGTTCCTTTCATCCAGTTCCAGAATCTCTAATTACTGTTGGATTCATAGCTGATTTCCATGCCCCCCCTCCCTTCTACAGTCTACTTCAAATAGCAAATGTCAGGATTTTGTTCCTTTCTCCATTCATTTTTTTTCCCTCCATCCCACTGTTTCTCTATCAACGAACCTCATTTTATCCTTTTCGACTCAATTTTCCTTCCCGGCTCTAAATTCTTTTTTTTTTCTTACAATTAAGGCCCCCAGGGATCCTGGCATCCAGCACTAACTTACCTTTTTTCCAGCTGAACCGAGTGTCCCCGACAATCCAGTATTCATGATCGTCAAAATGGATCTCCCCCGTCTGTGGGAAGAAGGCGTGAGCTAACTCGCCCGTGATCCCATCGAAACAGTGGTGGATCTGCGATTCCACGCAATCCGTGTGGTTGATCGGGTAGAAACCTGGAAAGTAGTTTGTAGGGCAGGGAGAAAGATTGAGATCATATTTACAAACCAGGACTATCCTGGCTTAGTTTTTCCACTTCTGGGCATCCTCAAGTGTTGCTTTTCAACTTTACCACTGTCCATGCAATGTTTCTCCACCTTGGTGACTTGAAGATGTGTGGACTTCAACACCCAGAATTCCCATGCTGGCTGGGGAATTCTGGGAGTTGAAGTTCACACGTCTTCAAGTTACCAAGGTGGAGAAGCACTGCATTAATTTAACCCATCTGCAAAACCCAACTTGTCCACCAGGCTAAACACACCTCCTGTACCTTAGAAACTGGGGGAATACCTGTGACTTCCCAACACTATGGGGCAAGTTTCCCAAACATCGCCAGCTTTGAATGCCAAGTGTCTTAACTTGCAACATAATCCAGCAGGGGGAAATTCTCACTTTGCATCCTGCTGTGGCCGTATTTAATTGGAATTAAAAGCATGCAAAATATCATTTTTTTAAAAAGTCCTGGCCCCTACCTATAATTCGATTTTTAGAACGTGATCCTCGCCCTACTTCTTGCTTTGAGCTCAAAGCAGCCATTTTGGAAGCCTTTCCCCCCACCCTTCCTCATTTCCACATACCACCCGGCCAGCTTCAAGACCTCAAAAGCGATATCTTTGCGACTCCCTCCGGATTCCTTCGCTCCCAGCCAGACTAATGTTCTGTTTTCAATTTAGTGGCATGCACAGATAGAACGGCATGATCTGGTGAGGCTAAGATATTTTTTTTCTCCCACCCCAAATCTGGAAGAACGTGTAAAATCTCGTTTCGGCCATCCGATGATCTCGTGCTTGCCAGATGCTGCAGTGTGGCCTTCTGATTTGAGGATGGAAACAAACAGGGGGGGGAAAATGGTTGTGAAAGGACATTTCTGCCTTAGTCATCTCCACAGTTGACAATCGAGTAGCCAGGTTTGCCAAGAGGACGAAGTTTCGATAAAATGTGGGACTCATTAGGGAACCGAGTCTAAGATAAGACTTTAGAAATAAGTCCTTTTTAAAAAATGTTTTTATTCATACATTTTTCTTTAACGTATCTAAGTGCTTAATGAGCAGTGTATTGTCTGAGTCAATTTGCAAATACATAAATAATAACATTCTTGATTGTGTATAACGGTATTCTTCCAATTTCTAATTGCTACCTTTATTATCCAACTAACCATTGGTAAAACAAATCCCAAGTTAAAAATCTTTGTCCTTTATCTTTAATGTTAACCTACCCATTTCCGCACAGTCTTAATATTTTTCTAATTCTACTTTCCTCCGTAGGAATTTCCTCATTTTTCCAATGTTGTGCCAATATAATTCTCACTGCTGTCAAAACATGTAATATTAAATATACATTCCCTTTGTCATATTTTTCTGGCAGTGTACCTAACAAAAATATTTCTGGTTTTAAATCTATATGTTGTTTTATCATTTCCTTTAGCCATGTATGTATTTTCATGGGGGAAAAAAAATACTTTTATAAGTACTTCTATCTTTTTCAGGCTTTTCAATCAGCCCCTGTTGGTTTCCTGCTTCTCATCTCCATCCTGCACCCTTAATCTTTCTTACTCCTTCTCATCTAGTATTACAGGGAGTCCTCCACTTATGACCACAGTTGAGCTCCAAATTTCTGTTGCTAAGCGAGACAGTTGTACAGCGAGCTTTGCCCCATTTTACGACCTATCACGCCACAATTGCTAAATGAATCCCTGTACTTCCTAAGTTAGTCACGTTGTTGTTAAGTGAATCTGGCTTCCCCTTTCACTTCGCTCATTGGAAGGTCGCAAAAGGGGATCATATGACACTGCAACCATTGTAAATACTAACCGGGTGCCTAAATTGGTCTGAACTTTGATCTCGTGGCTGTGGGGATGCTGCAATGGTCATAAGTGTGAAAAATGGTCCTGTCATGCCCCTGTCAGAATCTGATTCAGAGGGGGAAGCCGAGCAGCTGAGAGTGGGAGTGTGGCTCCGTTGGCTGTGGAAGAAACAGGAAGGACAAAGTCTGGCTGGGCAGAGCAGGGGAGAAGGAATTCAGAGGAAGACCCAGGCCCACCCCCCCTCTTCATCCTAGGGGACACAGGGAGGAATGGAGAAGGGAGCAACGTGAGTTGCATGGCTTACGGGGGAGGAAAGGGCCCTGATTCCCTTCCTTAGCTGCAGCTGGGAACACAGTGTTTAAAAAGGGAAGCTGCACACAGCAAAGTTGTTAGGAGCAAATGTGAATTTATCTGGTATCGTTGTGGCTTATCTGGGTTCCTGGCGTCTTCCCAACTGTGTGAGTTTTGCTGCGCTTTCAAGTCTGCAATTCCTTCTCCTGCCCTGTCAAGTTAATTACTTCAGTGTGATTTGTGTGGATTTTTAATTACAGTTTGTATGTACTTTGTTTTTGGACTGAATTTCCTCCACTGTTCTTGGGAGAGTTTTTTTCTCCAGCCAAAGGTAACCTGGACATTGGGGGCAAAGTTGGACAAAGGGACTCTTCTTACTTATGTGACTGTGTTGCCTTTGTGCCACGCCCCTTTGGGTCATCACAGTCTCTCTTTTCACTGCCCTTATAACTTCAGTCACTAAACGAATGGCCATAAGTCAAGGGCTACCTGTATACAGTACAGTACTTTCAAGATGCTTCTGTCGGAAGCGACAGTCGGCGGCGTGAAGGTACCTACCGATGGTGAGGTCGCTGGCGGCGCTCACTGGCACTTCGCGAAAGGTGAACGGGGAGACATCGCTCCACATACGGAAAGCTGCGGTCAGCCCTTTCCTGGTCTGGCTTTTGCCAATCAAATTTTTGGGGAAAGACAGAATTCTGCAGAGGAAGACAAAAATAAACAAATAAACATCTGCATCTCCATCTCTCTCTCTCTCTCTCTCTCTCTCTTTCTCTCTCTCTCTCTCTCTCTCTCTCTCTCTCTTTTTTTTTTTTTCTCAGCCAAATATGAGCTAAAGGCTTTTGAAGAAACACACACGCCATGCATGAGGTTTGCTGTGGCCAACATGGTCTCATCTGCCAATCTTGACTTTGGCATGGCTTAGCCTGGCAGGGCCAAAACAACCCTTATTTATTTCTTTTTTTTTTTTCGCTTGGCAGTTTCCTGCCAGCCATCACAAAAGAGACGATGTTGTCACAGTTGTTCCTGGAGCTTAAAAAGACAGAAATGCCAACAATTATATTGCCTGAAGCCATTTCTGTACCAGCTAAAAGTTGTTGCTTTGTTCCAAGCATGGAGGAAAAAAGAGAAAAGGAACGAATTAATTTTTCATTCCAATCCTTCAAGAGTTTGGATTTCATTTCCTGCATTTCCAATTCGCAAGTGGGCAAGCATAAATTTAAAAAAAAAAAAGAGGAAAAAGGATTCCAATGTCCATCAAATCTTAGTCCATTATAATTTCAACCAGGACTAATTTTTTCCTTTGAATCTGTGTTCTCTTCTCTCCATGCAAAAGAAGCTTTGTCCTTCCAGGGATTGGAAGGGAGGGGAAAATGGTGTTGGGTCCAAATTTTTATCCAAATATTTGGCACCTCCCAAAGCAAAATTTATTTTTCAGAGTTGTGCAATGCCATTTGCAGTTTCATTCTTTTTTTAATTTAAAAAAAGGACACAAATGCAGAGTTTTGAGGGTTGAACATACAGATTAAAATGTATATTATTAAGGGAAAGGCACAAAGGCCGTTTAAGTAGGATTCAGGTGTTGTGTTTATTTATTTTAGAAAGTGTAGAAAAAAAGTACTGTAATTATTGGGGTCTTTTTATTTTGTAGTCGGATGTATAAATGCAAGAAAACAAGAGATGAATTGAAAGATTTATGAGACATGCATTTCATGGCATCATATGGACAGTTCAAAAGAATTTTTTTAAAAAAAATCCAGAGGCTTAGCCGCTCAAATGGGGTGTCTGCATAAGATTTCTCTCACGAAAACAACGGTCTGATTTACAACCGCACCAAACTTGATTATTCTTATATTCTCACTTGTGTACTATTACTTGTATATTTTTTTATTCTTACTTGTAGGTTAGGTTGAAATGATTCCATTTGAGCCTTCCTGGTGTCAGCGTGTAACGTTTTTTCCGGAGATGAGGAGGTGGAGGCGGGAAGGGCAGCTTTTGAAGACCCAAATTAACCCCAAGGGCCGGACGAGATACGGCCATGTCTCCCTTAAACAAAGAGGAACAAGTCAGAACCTTCATACAGAGAGCATCTTCAAACAGCTCCCAGATCAAGTCAGTTTCTCAGCATTTTCCCTCCCTATTTCACAGCAGCCCCTTTTTCCCCCCTGCAAAAAGTCATTTTCTCTCTTAGCTCTCTCTCTAAACTGATTTAAATCAATTGATCGTAGGTCAATGCCCTTCAGATACGATGAAATTTAGCTTGATTCCATCAGCATGTTTATGCCAGAGGTGGTGGATGTCTGGATGACACCCAGATTGTCTACTTTAATCTTACTAAATCAGACAGGAGTCTGGAAACCCAGGATATTTTCCAGAGGGGGAAAAAAAAAAAACCCAAGCTTTTCCAAGTTACTAGCCCCTGGGGTTTATTTCTCGGAATTCAGTTGCCACTGAATGTGGTGTTTCCATTTAGCAATTATAGGTATTAACTGTTTATTGTCTTTCCAAGATTCACCCAGCCTCCTTATTTAAAGACAACCAAGCTGGTAGCCTCCCTTAGAGGGAGATTTTTTTTTTAATTAGGCATCCGTTGTATAATAAAGCATTTTTGCACTTTTTCTAAACTCATTTGTGCAAAAATATGCAGTTTTGGGGGGAACGGAGCCAAGATCAGGAAAAGGCAAGGAAAGCTGAGACAAAATGCACAAAATAAGTCCAACCCCCCCCCCCCCTCTAAGAAATGGAAGGAAAGCCACAGCTGATCAGTTCACTCACTTCTGCTCTGAAGGCGAAGCGAAGGGGGAAATAGTAAAAATTAATTTCAGCCATATGAATTTTGGAGTCACAAGAAACACCCCCAAGATGTCTCTTTACTGAAAAGCTGTTGGTTTATTTTTATTTTTTATTTTTTTAGAGCTGGAACCAGAACAAATATTGGTGTATGACATTTACAAGGTCTTTTATACTGCTGTTCTTCTCTGTTTCCTGAACCAAATAATCACAAGGGGAGCCTGCCATGTTACATCAGCAGTTGAAGGTGAGCCAATTCTGGCCTTATAGATTTGAGGGAGGGAAAAGCTCACCACCCACCAGAAGAGAAGAAGAAAAAAAATGTGTTCAAGGCATCAAAGCTTTTGATGGATGGCTGCTGGTAACCAAGTCTCCAGCTTCACCCCAGGTTTCATAGCTACAAATGTAAGTGACATAACCACCAACATTTAATCGGTGATCTAGGAGTTTTACAGCAATATATGTATTAACATTACTGTAAAACTTTAAACAGATTAACAGAGTTGGAAGGGACCTTGTAGGTCATCTAGTCCAACCCCCTGCCCAAGCAGGAGACCCTACACCATTTCTGACAGATGGGAGTCCAATCTCTTCTTGAAAGCCTCCAATGATGAAGCTCCCACAACTTCCGAGGGCAACTTCTGTTCCATGGGTTGATTGTTCTCACTGTCAGAAAATTTCTCCTTATTTCCAGGTTGAATCTCTCCTTGGTCAGTTTCCATCCATTATTCCTTGTCTGGCCTTCAGGTGCTTTGGAAAATAGCTTGACCCCCTTCCTCCTCTCTGGGGCAGCCCCTCAAATATTGGAAGGCTGCTCTCCTGCCTCCCCTGGTCCTTCTCTTCACTAGACTAACCAGGCCCAGTTCCTGCAACCGTTCTTCGAATGTTTTAGTCTCCAGTCCCCCAATCATCCTGGTTGCTTTCTCTGTACTTTTTATAGAGTCTCAGCATCTTTTATAATGTGGTGATCACTTTTAGACCTCTAGTTAAAAGTTCGTTTTAAAAGAAAATTGAGAAATTGGTTTATTTACAGGGCAACTGAAACTCAGTAGGATGAAAATGAGCAGATCTCAAGGAGTTCAAATCTGCAACGTGTTAACCAGAAGGAGGTTTGGTTATATCACATATTTGTCAGTTCTCCTCCTCCGATGTTCCAGTAGAAGAAACCAAGAATCCAAACAATCCTGAACCTCATGTTCATATCTAGCTTGGAAGTATCATTAAAATTGCATGGCAGCCATCTCCTTTCCCTTGGCAAAACCTCGCTCCAGAAGTATTAAATCCAATTTGGGGGGGGGGGGCTGGAGAGCTAAAGTTGCTCTCCACCACCCTTCCCAGATCAAACACGGAGGCTTTCAAAGAAAATCTAAGGATTTCTCTCCTGTTGGCAAAGCAAGAGAAAAAGAACCAGTTTTGAGGACGGAAAGGCCTCTCAAACTCCAGCCTTTCAAAGGCAAAATTCCTCGATATTTTCAATTTTGCTCATCTCAGCAAAAGGGGAGGGGAACACACACACACACACACCCCCCCAGAGCTGGATGAATCACTCGGCTGCTGTGCTTAAGTAACAGAGAACTGGCTTTCTTGGGAGTCACCCAACTTCTCCATGGCTTTTATCCATGCCAACTTTTTCTCCTTGGATTTACACTTTTCCTCCAGTTGCGGCAGGACTAGCGTCAGTGCCGCTGGCCTGGAGAAGCATCTTAAATTTCAAGTTTGGAAAAGGCCTACTTGGATAGCTTTTTGGGGCATGTGGAAGAGATTCAGAGGGTCAGGAAGAAAGGGAGAATGTAAGAAAAAGATCCACTGGGGCATCACTGATAGAGATTTGAACAAGGGCGATGCCGTTTTAATTGATTCTGGGAACTTTTATCCCAGAGCTGCCATTGATGAGAGAGGATTGACAAGCACACTGGAGATTCTCTGAAGAAAGTCCCAATTGCTGGTTTGCAAAACAACCACAGAGACTCAAAGAGAGGAATCATTTTGCCACCAGATGTTGCGAGTTTTGCTAGCATCCCTCAGCGCTGCCTAAGGCCACATCTGCTGAAACTCTTCCCCCAGCTAGAGAAAGAAACATGTTAGCTTGCAAAGCATTGGTGCATTCAGAAAGGAGACCTCAGCCTCAACTTCCCCCCTCCTGCCTCTTTGAACGGACAGTGCCTGACAGAATGCCTGGCCTGGAAAGGAAGGAGGGCTAAGCACTCTAGGATTAGAGCCAAAGAGTTGAGTTAAAAGAGAGAGAGAGAGAGGTTAGCCGAAAACGATTCACTAAACTTGTGCCTGCAAGTTTGATAATGGAATAGAGCAGAGATATGTAGAGAGACAGACATGCTGGAGGCAACATCAAATGTTGAGTTTCTTGACAAAAATGGAGCTCCTGATTTTATTGCCATTATTGTTTCACATGGATAGATGATAGAGACAGAGATTATGATGATAGATAGGTAGATAGAGCTAGATGGATGGATAGGTAGATAGATATAGATATTAAATAAATAGATGATAGAATAGATAGATAATAGAGATAAATGAAGATAGATGATAGATGATAGAGACATGATGGATGGATGGATGGATGGATGGATAGGTGGATATAGATGTTAAATATATGATAGAATAGATAGATAATAGAGATAAATGAAGATAGATGATGATAGATGATAGAGACAGATAGATGATAGATAGATGATAGAGACAGATGATAGATGATATGATAAATGATAAATATAGATAGATATAGATAGATTAGAGAGAGACAGACAGACAGACATAGATAGGTGCCATTAGCATGCTTGAATGTTTTTTTTTTAATTGTGATGTCTTGTTGCTATGATGGGAAACAATTGTAGTCTAAAATGTTGGACTCCAGTTCTCATCATAACAGAATAAGAGTCGGAAGGAACTTTGGAAGGTCCCCTTGTCCAACCCCTTGTTCATACAGGAAACCCTACACCATTTTAGACAAATGAGATTGGTTGTCCAATCTCTCCTCAAAACCTCTGGGTTTTTTTTTCCATCCATGATCCCCATCCCACACCAGGTTTCAAACAGGATGAGGAACACCAACAGCCCATCCAACATGCACAAAGGGAGCTTGTAGTTGGTGTAGTAGGAAAGAAAACACGGACACGTAGCATTCAAATCCCATCCTGAGGGATTTGAAGTCTTGCTCTACTTTTAAGTCTACCTTGCCAGACTGTTGTGAGGGTATTGGGGGGAGGGGGCTCCCACAAAATCCCTTGGAAGGAGAAGCGGGCAAGATAAACAGCCCTATTTGAAATATTAGCGGCTTACCTGGATCTTCTGGGCTTCTCTTGCAAACGAATCTTCCAAAACCACCAGAAGAATTAAAAGCAGGAAAATGCCGGTGAAATTTCCAGGGCTTGGATATTTATGTTTCTTTTCCCTGCCAGCAGGCAATAAAAAGGGAGGAACACTCGCAGAGAGACTTTTGAACTGCTCCATGGCTGCATTCAATTAAAACCGAACGCGAAAAGAAGAATTACCCGGGAGGAAATTCAACCCAAATACATCCAGTTTGCAAGGCAAATTGTTCTGAAGTTCTGAAAAGTAGGCTGAGATGGCAAAATTTCCTGGAGTGCTGGAGCAATTTTTTTTTTTTTTAAAAAAAGGATGCCAGTGCCAAGGTTTGAGTTAAGACTCTTGACACGCTCCGCCAGGGAATCTCTGCTTGTGGAAGAAGGGAATGGAAAAGGAAAGAGGGAAAACAGCTGGAAAGGAAAAGGAGAGCTAAGCCAGCTGTTTCGGCATCTGGATGAGGGCGGCCCTAGATCCCTGTGTGCACACACACACACACACAGACACACACCAGGAGGAGGAAAATGATGGACTCCCAATCGGTGGATTCTGAGCATACACGCACACGCCCCGAATCTTTTATCGATGGGATCTATTCCACAGTCAAGAGATCCACCCACAAGCTTTGAGAGGATTCTGATCTGCAAGAGAAGAGTTTTGTCTTCGCTGGGGGTCTCTGATTGTTCATCTTGGTTGGCCCTGTTTGCAGTGTTGCAATTTCATTGTGTATCTGTGTGACTACATGGGTCTCCTTTGGGGAATTTACACAATGGGGAATTTCACAATTCCCAGTATCATATTTTTTTTGAGATGGCGAGAAAGCTTGCCCATGATTTTTCCCTAGGAAGCTCAGCTTAGGAGCCAAATTTCTCTAGAGGCTTGGCCTACCTCACAGGGCTGTCGGGAAAGTCAACAAGGGAGAACTCGAATCAGCGCCTGGTGCTTTGTGATGTGAAGTTGGCCAGAGGGCAGGTATGGAAGAAAAATTGTGGGATACAGTTTAGAGCAGGGCAGGGGTCTCCACCCTTGGCGACTTGAAAACTTGTGAACTTCAACTGGGAGTTGAAGTCCACAAGTTTTCAAGTTGCCAAGGTTGGAAACTCCTCATTTAGAGGGTCTTTAAAAAAAAACCAAAACCCCTCTACAGCCACTTTCCAGGAGAAAAACTACAGCTTGAAAAAGAAGAAAAACTTTGGGGGAAAAATGATTTTTTTAAAAATGCCATCGAGTTTAATGAGTTTTTCTCCCAAGGAAAAGCCGAAGACCAACAGAGGGATGTAACAGGAAGTAAAAATGCTTAGCAAATATCTTATCTTGTCCTTTTGCTGGACATGTTTAGACAACTGAAACAATTGGGAGATGATGTGTTAAATTCCTGGCAGGCCTTACTGCTGGAACGATAGGGACTAGAACCTATTTCTTTAGACATTATACTGGATTTGCCCCAAAGAAAGTGGGTACTGTACACCTCAAATACACAGTATAATTCCTGTCTCAATTCTTTTCTGTAGATTCTCTTTTGCTATTTTAAAAAACACCATCTGCAATATTTACATGCCTTGACACAAAGCCACAATAAATATTACATAAGCAGCACAAGGAACGGTTCTTAATTCTGGCCGTTTATATTTTTTTTCGTTCTCACATCTGGCTGTTTAATTTGGTCACCTCTCAAAAATCAGTGAATCTGGCTCCATATAATTTTGGACAAGAGCAGAAGGGAAAAAAATCTTGCTCGCATGGGCCTTTGTCAAAAGCTTGATGAAAGTTTGTCCTCTCCACCCATCTCGGATGCCACTAAAAAAATAATAATCACTTGGATAAATTTGAATTTATACTATCAATTTATATGGCTTTCTTAAAACCTCCTTTGCAGTGGTGCTTTTCAAAGCAGGATACGGAGGAGTAAATGCAACACACAGCAAGGAAAAACAGAAAAAAGGCCCTTTGAAAAGAAAGAAAAAAGCTGCTTTCCCCAAAAACAGGTATTTTCTCCCAAAAACAGGTATTTTCTCCCCAAAACAGGTATTTTCCATAATAAGCACTGGCCTTGGTAAGGTGTAATAGCCAGTTATGTCCACAGGATGGCAGACTTTGCTATTCCAGTGATTAAAAAGAAGGCAGTCCTTGACTTAGAACAGTTTGTGTAGTGACTGTTAACAATTGTCTCATTTAGTAAAAGAAATTTGGGCTCCATTGTGGTCGTAGCTCAAGAACTACCTATGTTGGAATTTTTTTTTTTGAAATAGGCCCTCTAGTGGTTGTTACACATATATGGCACCCAACGTTTTGTATGGTATTTTTGCTATGGAAATGTTGAAGAGAAACTGGACCCATAGATCCACAGGACTGTGATATAGATCATCAAGGTTTATGTCTTTTAAGGAACTGTGTTTATTGCGACACAACGTAGTCTGATTTCTGGCCATCTTAGACTGGCATTCTACGATGAATGCAATTTTATTTTACTGAAATACAAAAACAAACAATCTTTGCTTTGCCCAGGGTCTTAAAGGGATGGCTAAATGCATATATAGACCAGAACAGTCCATCATCTGGCTAGTTTGACTTAACATTTGCTTTCTTCCTTAGGGAGAGGATGGCCAGCAGGGGGCACTCTTTTTATGCGCTTGTGCTATACATACATAACATACATAGTCCCTTTGAGGCTAAAACACCTGAGCCATCAGAGGGCGCTCTTGTCGCATTCTGTCATTGATGGTCTTAGTATTCCCTTTCAGTAGTATTCCCTTTCACTATGCCCAAAAGAACCACCAGAGGGCACCATTTGCATGCCCTATGCCAGGGGTCCCCAACCACCGGTCCCCAGACCGGTACCGGTCCGTGGATCATTTTTTACCGGGCCGCAAAGCTTGGGCGCCACCATCTTGTTTTGATGGCGCTTCCAGGTTTTCAGTTGGAAAGTGGCGTTTGGGTGCTCGTGCCTTAGTTTCGTCGAGGGGGGGCGGCGGCTTCAAACGAAGAGCCATCCTGATGGCGGTGGAGTCTCGCGTTACTCAGGTACCGGTCCGTGGAAGAATAAATAATCGTGAAACCGGTCCCTGGTTCAAAAAAGGTTGGGGGCCACTGCCCTATGCTATATAGAAGATAGATGAGAAAAGAGTGCCATCCAGTGTCTAATTTTTAATAATGCAGTTTATATATTATGCACACTGAAAAACCTGCCATCCAGCGGTGAATTTGGGAACTGCAGATTCAAACCATTGGGAATGGTCTGCCATCCCAAGGTATATATAATACACAAACACACATTATTAAATCTGCCATCTAATGGTTGATTTAGGACCTGCTTATTTATGTAACTGTGTAACCTGTTATTTGCTTATTGGCAAAATGGCCACGAGATGGC